CCCAGGTATTCAAAAGTTGGTCCCACGGTATGACAAATGTCTCGATTCCGGTGGCGAATATGTTGAAAAATAGCTGGACACTTGCTGTATCTGTTGCAATAAATATTTCCATGAAATTGTGTTTTGTTTCTGTAAACGGCCCCAGGGAAACTTACTTTTGGGACGCGCCTCGTATAATCATTTTTGGTCCCAAATAACCAGCCATGATAAATTTAAAATCATGCTGCTTGAAGTGGTAAGAATATTAAATTTACAAAGCTAGGTATCTCAACAAATCAGCGCTTTTTTTTTTTGAAAAGCTGAATGGTTGCTTAGCTAGTAAACAAATACCATACCTTACGTGGAGCTAAAGGTCCATTGCCGCGGCCAACACTTGAACACAGCCATTTTAATGAAATAACAAGTGGTTAACGCTCTTTAAGGAAATAATCGTCGGTTACAGTGATGGCTATAAAGTAAAAGCTGTCTCACTATACGCCGTGTAGGCGCTTTGGGGAAGAGGAGGTATAGCTCCTACTCAGTCTTAACCTTAGGACTAAATAGGGATGAGTGGTCAGCGTCATGACCCAACAGCACTTAACCCCGGGAAATGACCCCGTTATCGTTGAACAGGCGTCTAGGTGGGCCTCAGAGCCGGTCTGGACGTAGAGGCTAGAGGAAAAATCCTCTGCTCCCGTCGGGGATCGAACCCCGGTCGTCCTGTCCGTCGTCAGTCACTGACTGGATGATGGCAATGGAGTGTTGTTGGGCGATTAGTCGAAACGATGGATTATAGCAGCAATCTCACGCGGCTGATCGCCCGATAAGGCTTCATTGCAAAATGGATCATACGAAAACAGTGGTTTGGATTGGATTCATTTGGCCGAGGATAGGGACCGATGGCGGGCTGTTGCGAACCTTCGCGATCTGCAAAGAGCAGGGTGTTGACAGAGGAACTACTGCCTTCTCTAAGAGGACTCTGTTCCATGGAGCTAATTAGTTAAGAGACTCGTCCGTTAAGGAGCTTTGAATTTCAAAGTGATTTTTATTGAACTCTTGAATGAACATTTCCGTGACAAGTTAATGATACAAAATGAAGTTAATGACTTCATGTATTCTGAGAAGCTTGTAAGTCTATAGCCTAATTGGGAAGGAAATGCATCTCATTTCGCTTTGTACATATTTTCAGCCCGTTGTGACTTGCAATCAAATGATTTTTCGAAACAAACAAAAAATGGAACGTATTGTTACCAACTTAATAATTACAAACAAAATAAAAATATTTCGCTCAAACATATGTTTATGTGGTTTTATACCGCTCCGAATATCGCAGTGGCATAACAGAAATTGTGAAACCAAAAAGGAATTGTGAATCTGATGATTTTTGAATAAGTACCGGGAACAACAGTGAACTGACTGCATCCGTAATTTAATGTTCTCTCAGTTTTTGTTTGTCACGAATAAAATTATGTTATTTTTCCCAGTATTTCAGCTGTAACACACTTTCGGGTGGTTTGTGAGCTGTAATCGCGAATAAGCTACCACCACTGCGGTGCATTTAACCTTTATACCTATTAATTAACGTCGCCTCTTGTACGCAGTGTAATTTAAAGGTCTGACAGAAATGTGAGGGTGAATTATACACACGAAAACAATTAAAACGTTCGTGTGAACAACAGTCCGGAAAAGCGTCCTTTCCAAAGTTGCAGTCCCCGTTTCATTTCCGAAATTCCAAACGCGCCGTCATACATTTGCTGCTATTTATCAGCGCTCGGAAGAACGGGCATGGTGCAAACACTACACGGCACAGTCAGATAAAATTTTAAATGATAAACTTCAGGTATAAACAATTACCACCACTACCAGTGGCATTTGAAACCTTGTTTACATAGAATTCTGCCCCCATGTCCTCCGGATGCCATTTTGTTTAGCGTTTTAATGATACCCAATAACTTTTATGTTATAATAATTCTTATGAAACTTGTCCAGATGATTTCTAGAACTTTTGATTCATGTATAGTTTATCCACAGAGTAGATAATATAAGATTCTAGAAAATGTTCTTGTTTGCGGTTTAAACGTAAGGTATTAAACGTTCCTTTATCAGAACTGATTACATTAGTGGTAAAGCCTTATCTGTGAGAACAGTAATTACAACTTGTTTATGAGGTTGGCATTTGGTAAGATGCGATTTGGTACGCAAGCTCATCTTCCTTAAATTTCAATTAAAATGTACCGTATGTGCAGAAATGTGCTCCCCGTTGCAGGCTGTATGCGCGGTGTTTGAAACTAGACGCAAAATATCTGCGAGCATGGGCTACGTCACGGTAAGAGTAAGGGGAGAGAAAGACGCCTTATGCCACATTATTTCACCCTCGCCGTACCTCGGCTGCGTGACTGTCAACGTTAATATTTGCAAGAGTCAACGAAGCTTGGAGATATCTCGCGGGAAATATACATCAGTTCCAGGTTATAAATACTGCCTAATACGGCACGTGCAGGATTTTGAGAAATATACTGTGCACATAATGACGTCACAGCTTTATCTGCCTCCAGTCTCCAGCGCAGTTGTGGTACGTGGTTTTTGACTTACAAATCCCATGCCTCGGGTTGGCAGTAAACGGTTCGTTCCGTTTACATGTGGCGTCTCTGTAGATACTGTACGCTGTGTGCAGTGTGTTAATCTGACGTACGTGAACCACATGCCAAGGCAGGAATCAGCAACCTGCGACCAGCGGGCCGCATGTGTCTCTTGGAAACTCTTGATACTATAGGCTCGTAAAATAATTCTATAATTAGCCTCTGCGAAAGGGTAACAATTCTGTGACCGCATTATTTGTCGTAATAATGTTTAAGATATTCTGTCAGAATGACGTTATGATATTAAAAAGGAAACAGCTTACCGAGTGTAGCACGAAGATGTAGACGCTGTGTGTCAAATCCAGACACAGGGTAAGGAGCACCGTCAGGATCCACGGCACCAGGAAGACTCGTTGGTCCTGTGGACAAAAGTGAACAGAGTGATTCTTGAGTAGCTAATAGTCGCTCAGAAAATCAGAAAGTTACCCGCCTTTCATGGGACGTCCATTACCGTGTTCGGAAGATCTAGCTACTAGTCCCTAGTCAGAGTGAGCGGAATCCATTGCACACATTCTCAGCCTATTATTTGTTTTATCCATTTTAATATTATCCTCACATTTACGCCTAGATTCACAGATGATGTACCTCCTTCAAACTAACTATGTGGATAAGAGCCTTTCTGGAGAAGCTGATAATCGTCAAACTGGTAAAGAAATTGCCTTTTATGGAACTCCGAAGATGTATCGCTGTGTTTAAAAGAACCCGCCACTGGGCGCTATCCAAGCCAGCTGAATCCAGTGCACGTCACACTGTTCCTTTAAGATCTCTTTTAATATTATCTTCATGGTTATGACCAGGGCAGAATTTGTGCATGCATTTCATGTCTATCTATGCGTGACTTGTGCCCTGCATATTATTTTATGCGTGATATGAAATGTTCAGTTTTCATCAGAATGCTGACATGCAACTACAGAATAAAGGAGGACGCAGACATTTACCTTTGGGCTAGGTTACCGTCGGTCTCCGTTCGTGATAGGTCTGGCAAACGATCCGGTGGAGGGCGCTGTACTCGATTGCAAAGTATCTAGTTAGCTGTACGGGTCATTATTATTCCTGTTGTGCCCTCGACTTATTAGGTCGAAGCCTCCCCCAGAGTTTGTATCTGATTGGTTTGTAACGAGGTACAAGTGGGAGTCAGGTTTGTTCAAGCGGGTTAGAGTTTTGTATATACAGGGTGAGTCAGAAATATGTTTACAAACTTCGTGTGCGTGTTCCAGGTTCAAAAATAATAAAAAAAAATGTTCCTATGAACATGGAGTCTTAAATGTTTCGTTTTCAAAATAATAGCCAAAAAAATAAGTTTCAGTGATTTGACTTTATATCAAAGTGAATCCAGCTTTGGATGGGAACGTCTGTAGAATGCATGTCAGATGATTTGATGAAACTCTGGTGTGTACGAACTAATTTGTTAGTCTTGTATACGTCGTGCTCGTGCATGTGTGGAGAATAAAGGAACAACCTTTGAGCATCTGTTATAAAGAAACATCCTTGTCCTTATATTTGATAATGAAGGCATAAATTGAAAATTATTTTTGGCTATTATTTCGAAAATGAAACATTTGCGACTCCATGTTCATAGGAACATTTTTTCTTATTTTTAATCCTGGAACACGCCCACGAAGTTTGTAAACATACTTCTGACTCACTCTGTATAGTAATGATTCCCTGCATGTTCTGAACAAATATATCGCTCAATCTGCACATTTTTTTTTAATTTTGTCTAATCTGGTATATCCCTTGAGCGTGATACAAATTTCACTTCCCTTTTTTAATTTCATTAAAATTTGTATCTTAAGTACGTCATGTTTGTGTTGAATCAAATACATATAGACTGTGAAAATAAATATATGTATTTCATTAAAATTGTTATTCTTCGTAACGTAAGCTTTACTAGCATACAAGATTATATTAGAAGATGGCTGTCTTCTGGGCTGTTGCGCCGTGTAGTCTGGCAGAAGTTTACCGACGTTTCAGAGGTATTTGCTGCCTCCATTGCCCTGATGGTGGAGTCAGTAAGGAGCTCTGAAACGTCTACAAATTTCTACCAAACTACACGGCCCAATAACCCAGAAGACAGAGATGATGGAGGCAGTAAAGACCTCCGAAACGTCGGTTTAATCGTGAATGACAAGGGAAGGAAAATCTTGAGGTTTATATAAGTATTGGTTCATTTTCGTTTTGTCTTCTAAGTGCTTCTTAGAGGCAGCCTGAAATTTAGTGAAACAACGTAGACACTGAAACTCTTGATTTTTAAATCGACCCCGAAAGTATTTGGGAGGGACAAAGGATTACAAAAAGTTGGACAAGCATGTTAAGAGCTATGAAAGTAGATGTTTGGGACACGCGAGGAGAAAATGGAAAGGGAAATGAAAAATAACGAACCAACGGTTGCATCGACGTGAACATCGAACGCGACTTCTGAAGAAAGGATGTGCCTCACTGGTTTTGATGCTGGGAAGAGAACTCAAGTCGAGACTAGTATTCCCAAAAGAATTTCTTCCCAAACACAAGGAGCAGAGTCTTCCTTTAGGAGCTAACAGGGTTCTCAGCTATTCAAGAAAATCCCTGTCCTTCATTACCGCATTCACAAAAGCCCCTCTCTTGAGCAAAATAAATCTAATTCAAAAGCCCAAATCCTGTTTCCTTAACATGCATATTTCTTTATCCTCCTGTCTACGCCTAGGTCTTCCGAGTGATCTTTTCCTGTTTAGGCTTTTCAACAAAAATTTTATATGTATTTCTTATGTTCCCTATACGCGCTACAGTCCCATAAATTTTTCCTATATGATTCTATCACCTTAATAACTGGAATAGAGTACAAATTATGGATCTCGGTTTTTCGAAGTGTTGTTTCGAAATTGTTTCGGTGATATGTGCCGATTTAGATTGAATTAAAGGTCCTTTGAGGCAGTCTGCTGTTTTCGTCATCAGCTTATGCACGTCATCGAAATGTGGCTGGTTGTTCCTACACCCTCAGATTCCTAAACGTCATGTGAACATTTTAAGTCAGTGTGTTTAATAATAAGACTGGGCTCAGCTGTGATAACGTTAAATAGAGAGAGTGAGTGCTGTGTCTTCTATTGCTGAAGATCGTGACATGACCTAACCTAACTTTAAAAGATTACCACAGGAGCCATTGGCACAGGATTCTGGTAAACTTTGTTTTCTACGCTGATCTCTCGGAACGTAGATTTTTTAATGCCTAATTATGTGAGACAATCATGTTATTTCGTTTATTTAACTGCGCTGAATCAGATATTTACGTTGTCTACGTCGAATGGGAAATAGTGAGATGGTAATTATTAAATTGCTGAGATACTTGGGAGAAGCGACGCACGGCGACCATCAGCATTTCTATGGGTTTATTTTCATACCGATACTCTGTTTCGCATTCTTATTAGCATATGTGGGTGTATTATCGAACGTGACATGGTCGTATATAAACGAAACAGAAGAAAGTCTTTGTGGCTTATTTGCCGAAAGCGAGCGAGGCTTGCAAGTTTATTTAGGAAATATAAAATGAAAGAGAAAGGGCTTAGAAACTCATTTCGTGAGCAAGATGTGACGTACCGTCGACCTGCTGCGCGCCTCGCCATGTTTCAGGTTCAAGGACCATTGTTACTGCGAGGTAAACTCTCTGGGACTCGCAGAACTCAAGTCGTCTTTCAATAACGTTTAAGTGATCCGTGGAAATTGAATTTCTGACCCTTCCGAAATGTGCACAGAAGAGAAAATAGCGGTCGTTGTATTGTAGTGTACCAATTCGTTCGTTCACAGTTTGGATTGTCTTTTAATATTTTATGTTTTGCACACGACACATTCTGCTTCCACGGAGTAACCCCGTCAGTTGGTACAGCTGTTAACTTGGCATACATATTTGGTACGCAACGAGGACGAAATCAGATCGCGAGACGTATTCATCTCAAACTGTGGAAAAACAGAATCTGCCCATTTCCCTGGGCTATGCATTACAAGTACCGATTGGTACAAGAATACGAGAGATCGGAAAGGTATTAAGGTACTCTCTGGAGCTCTGCTCAGCTCAAGAGCACTTTTCAACGATGTTCTGGCTTCGCATTGTGGCAACACTGCGCTCCGAGGTAAATTATTCTTTTAGTACGGAAGATGGTACATAAGACGCATGCAATTTATTGAACAGTTGAGCGTCTGTTAGTTTCTTATGTAGGACTTGGTTTAACCTGAACAGAAAGACATCGCTTTTCTTATAGACGTTATTGATGATGGCTCTCGAAAATATTGAAAATTATTGTTATCCAAATATGAGGATTTGTTGCATAGGGAAGTAATTGTTTTGTTTTTTTGTTCGCTTTGGAATTCTGACACGTATTTTCATACGCAAAAAAAATATTTGCTGTACAGTTCAACTATGCTGGTAGTAATGGATTTTTTTTCTGGCGAGCTGCAGTTGTTTAAAGTTTACAAAACAGACGCTTTCATAATATATAAACATTGTGTTGTAAACACGAACAGAAGAATGCAATACTAATGTTTGAGAAGCTAATAAGCACGTTCGGCTAATCGAGAAATTCTTTACCTTTTATAGAACCCAAAGGTTCGTTCCCGTGTCATCAAAATTTCTTATCATTACGGGTAGGTTTTATTATTTAGTGTTCTGTCTGATGACAGGTCCATATGAACAGGATCCTTCCATCCTTTTCTCTTCTCGGACTGGGACCTGTTCATATACGTTCTTGGCAGATGATCCAGAAGTCGTTTGCCATTGCCTTCTTCTGTGTGTGAATGGAGTAATTGTTGGGATGCCACGGAGAAACCGGGGAAGCCCCCCGTACGGGTAGGTATCAGTATAAATTATTGAAGGTATAGACTGCCCGAAATAAAGCATTTAATTAACTTGGTGGAAAAGCGTCCTTTTGACAGATGTTTAGTCACTCAGAGTTTTAAGACGTTTCCCGCCTCTTATGGAATCATGATGGTCATTATCTTTGTTACCAGGTTCCGTGCTGAAGTTAACCATTTGACTCCAGTCCACTCTTTAATATTATATTTTGTTCAGACTCGTTTTATACTTATCTATTCTCCTGATCAATTCTCCTCCTTATAGAATTTACAACCACGGAAACGCAGAGTTAAAATAATATTTTTATACTTCAACTTTCGAACGTTTATAGTTTGTAGTATATATATCGATAAACATAATTTTAGATTTTAGATTCTCACGACAGTGATAACGTCCACGTTAAATCTCAGTTTGTAATCAGAATAAAATAAACACGAAGATGTTTCTTACAGTTCATAATAGACATAAGATGATGCAACCTTCCATCAATGTCGTCTTGTAGAATACTTTAAGACATAGATATTATGATACTGATATGTTGCCAATTATGCCGGGTCAGAGGTCATGGCAAAAGACTTTTACATTGCACAGATATTTCTGTGATAGAATGAATCGACTAGGAAAACTGCCTTATACTCAGCTCATCTCATTTGCTTATAACGGAACGCAAACATCGTCATATTACTGAGACTTCGAATTACTTCTTTGACGTTTTGAATGGCTGGATGATATTTACCAATCTAACTATTTGAACGGTTAATTAACTGACACAGTTGTAGTTTTCTGTGAATAAGAACGTTGACGCCCATGCAGATTGCCGATCGACTGGGTGTTGGCTTGTCCAATGAACTGTCAGGTGAATTAATTAGTACTCGTGCGTTCGTCCAGGTCTGCTTGTTCTCTATCACGAGTCTACAGTCGCTGCAAAAATTAGCAACAGCGGGTATCTGGATTTGTGCAGTGTTCGAACAGAGATAAAATTACTGAGAGCAGTTTCGAGTGTTCCAAATCGATATGAAACGAATATGCTTAGTCTCGATGAGCCTGTGAGTTGTAAAGCAATGGAACCAATAAAATCCTGTTCTGGTATGGTATAGAATCATGGGTGCTGACTACGTGGGCGTCCTGGGACACATCGTAGCCCTTTATACCGATTTGATAGAAAAATCGTCTTGTATAACTGGATGCGTTAATTTTTTTTTTCGGAACTGCGCACAAAGCTGCAAGTTACTACATGTTATATATGACAGTAAAAGTAAAGTTTGTCCCACTACACGCCATGTAGGCGCTTGGGGGGGAGTGGAGGTATAGCTCCTCTCTTCCTTGACCTCGGCACTAGATGGGGGTGAGTGGTCAGCATCACGCACCGGCCGGTTTTACCCCCGGGAAATGACCCCGGTACTTTCAGGTTTGTTATTATAATTCAGTGCAGTTTCTACCTCAGTACGTCAGTCTATAATAGGATGCATTCACTAATAAAGTTGAACGCAACTGTAGTAAGAAAAAATTTGACTGCAGATGTAAACCATTTTTAAATTTATTTGATGTGGTCCGTCACTTACCCGATAGATGCCGTATATAAGCAGCAGAGAAGACAAAACACCACATCCCGAAGAGCAGAGCAACACGACGTTGAATATCATGGAGGCTGTAACACATGGACACAATGATGGGGTATTAGTGACTCGGTTCTTACTTTTTAGTGTGAAATTTGTCTGGCTAACCCTGCGAAAGGCCAAACTATTATTTCTTTATTCGCGTCTTCATGCAAAATGTTATTTTTAATCCCAATTAGATTTTAACCTGACGGGTATATATTCCATTTTTTACAAATTCTAAATGTACTGTTCATTTCTGTTATTTAAAAGCTGTAAGTTACTCAGTGGTTGTGATACAGATCCTTTATTTCTATAAATACATTATGGAATAATATTTAAAATAATAATAATAATAATAGTTTCATGAAGTTCCCGGTACTTAACTAAGCAGAACTCATGCAAACGTATGGAGTGGAGGCATAACTGGGGTAAGATCTTTTATGAAATTCTATAATGAACACTATCTAAGATTGCTGTCTTCTGGGCTGTGGAGCCGCGTAGTCTAGTTCAGTGGTATTCAACCTGTGGTACGCGTACCCCCGGTGGTACGCGAAGACATCTTAGGGGGTACGTGAAATTTTAAAAAAATATATATTATTTTATGATAAACACTGAATAATCAGTAATGTAATTTATTTAATTTATTTTAGATGTAGATTATATACTATGTATAACTTGAATTATACACCAATTACTTTGGGAGTAGAAAATTGAAGAGAAATTATATCTGGGGGTACGCGAAGACATCTTAGGGGGTATGTGAAATTTTAAAAAAAATATTATTTTATGATAAACACTGAATAATCAGTAATGTAATTTATTTAATTTATTTTAGATGTAGATTATATACTACGTATAACTTGAATTATACACCAACAACTTTGGGGGTACAAAGTTGAAGAGAAATTATATCTGGGGGTACGCGAACAAAAAAGGTTGAATACCACTGGTCTAGTAGATGTTTACCGACGTTTCAGAGGAATTGTCTGCCTCCATCATTAGGGAAATGTGATGATAGAGGCAGAAAGAAGCTCTGAAACGTCGGCAAACGTCTACCAGACAACGCGGCGGAACAGCCCAGATGACGATAAACGTCGATGATGGGGTGAAAGCAGTGTGGTGAAAGGTACCAACCGCTGGGCCACAGAGAAATGTTTGTCGTCGTACTTACTGGGTGAAATGACTTCCGGTTCCAGAAAGCTGTTACTTAGTGGCTGGGTCTGATTTCCGCTCCAGTACAGGTGCTCCGAGTAAACGAAGTGCGCCATTATTACCACAGTGACACTGAAGTAAGCCTGTAACACAGAGTGTCTCGTAATATTGCTATTAACAGTAATGTTCTATGAACTAACTGGTCAGCAGAGTCCTAATAGTACGCTTAGAAAGCCAAGAAATTACCCGCTTTTTATAGGACCCGAAAGTTCACGGTCGCCGGTCCCTATCTCGAGCCAGATAATACAATGCGTGCTAATCAACCGTATTTCTGCATCATCCATTTTAATAGTGTAGCATGGGTTACTTACACACCACTGCCCTTGAAATAAAAAACAAACAAACTAGGATTAGATGAACGGGTCATGAGCGTGCTAATCAACCCTATTTCTGCATCATCCATTTTATTAGTGCACCACTGCCCTTGAAATCAAACAAAACCAAACTAGGATTAGATGAACGGGTCATGGGACACGCATTTGTAGAGGAGAAATACGTATAAAGTAAGCGTGCCGAAATATTAATTAGTAACCACGCGTGACAAAGCGTGACTAGGCGTGACCTACTCTAACATCGTGACGAGATGTGTCCTTATCTGTCGAAACGTGACGAAGATTTACAAAGCGTGACTGGGCGTGAAATTCCCTCCTTTTTTCATTGAATGGTCCCTACAAGGTCAGAGGCCATAATCGGTGGATCCAGCTCTACATGTTGTCTTGAGATGCTTGAAGGGATGAGAACACTCGGAGGATGTGGGAGTAGATGAAAGGCTATTCTTAGGACGAGTATTAAGAAAACAGGGTTGGAAGATGTGGACAGCGTCGATCAGCTTTTAAAGAAGTACCTTCCTCCTAGTAGTTAGTTATCGATCACAGTGTCGACTCAGCTGTGTACGGTACTAGGGAATGTTAAACCTTCAGTGAATGAAGCGGCTGGAATCTGCTCTAGCACCGGCAGTTGAGGTGACAGGATACATTACATTCGCAGTGAGCGATAGCATGGAACTCCCATTATATTTCATACCTGTCTTCTGTGTTGTAGCGCCGTGTATTCTGGTTGAAGTTGAGAGATACTTGCTGCCTCCATCGTCAGGGCGATCGCTCTGACAATAGAGGCATCATATACTTCTAAAACGTTGGTAAAATTCTACCAGAATGCACGGCGCTACAACACAGAAGACATCTATTTTCGGACTCGCCGCCTTGAAAACAACAAATCCTACTTCCGAAATCGAAAGAGTTGTTAATAGGCCACAGTTGTATTCTGGTGGTACCAGGTTTAAATCTTAGCCTGTAGACTGGATACTCTGAAAGAGATTTTAGTAATCTTCCTCAGTCCATCGAGGCCTGTGACGAGATATTACGAATTTCATCAGTACATTTTTATCATTCATAAATAATTTACAGATAAAATTAGTCGTTAAATAAGCGAAGAATCAGTAATGTGGAGACATCGCTCGTGTACCTCTCTGCGATTGAAGACAGGAGGAAATTTTTGTAATTTGATAACGGAGACTTCATCCCGCAATTTAGAAAAGTTATCTGCCCGCTTTTTTTTTCAATAGAATTCTTTATGAATCTCGAGAGTAAGTGAAACTCTGCATATATGAGAGACAACACAGATAAAGTCATATTTCTGCGTCTCAGTCAGATCTGTCTCTGTATGCAGGTATACTTGTAACATTCTGGGCGGTAAGTAATGCAATGAAGGTAGTCGTTCTTAAGATGAGCAGCGTAGGAATGTCTGTTCAATCTTTCGAAATTGGGTCGAAGTGTCTAAAGCACATCTGATTTAGACACAAACGTAAATTCCTTTGTTGATTCTCGTTGTGTGTGGACGGAAGGGGGTGTAGAAAGTTAATGTGAAACCAAAATCAACCCAGAAATTCCATCTGAATAGGCCTGTTAGAATTATAGCTATTATATTTGTCATTTACGTTTTATGAAGCTTAAGTTTTAAAGTAGGTGATGATAGTAGTAAGAATGAGTGTGAAATGCGGGATATAACTGAAAGCGTGGTGAAAATTTTGGCTCACAGTGTACTACGGAATTCTATTATTAATTATGTCCTCGTTTTATTATCCTGAATACAGTTACATTGTTATGGATGCAGTAGAATCTTGAGACTGTTGTGGTGATCAAAGCGAGGCCACATCCTTCATCTTTTATTTCGTAAAATATTAAGTACATTCTCTAATTAACACAAAGATTAAGAGGGGCTGGATAGCGTGTCATCAGATAAAAAAAAGTAATTTTGCTGGCAAAGAAAGTGGTCTCTTGCTTTGTTTGTTGTGGAAAGATTAATTTCCGTGGCTTCTCCCGCTGATTCATTGTTTGAAATGACAACCGCTGGAAGTTGATGGCAATTGTCAAAGTTGGTCTTATCATATTACTCAATAATTTACTCTGATAAATTCATTAAATTATTTTTATTAAGATATTGTAGGTGCGTCATATTGTGGTTTTATTTAAAAATAGTATTAAAATATATTAAAATTGTCCGTCAATCACAATAAAGTAATATAAGATAATTAAATGGTTAAAATATTATCCTTTGTTCCGTGTCGAGTACTCGATTTCCATATGTAATTTAATTACCTTTATTGTGATTGACGGACAATTTTAATATATTTTAATATTATTTTTATTAAGTAAAACTTCTACTCTGAGACAGCCAAGTGCCACGCCACGAGTATCGCTTGAAGTCACCGGGGATTGAATGTTGGTCTCCGCAATGCCAACTTAATTTTTGGGGGGTTAAATATTTAACTTAGGTGGTAACTATTTTTTGAGAAGTATTGGCGTGTCTTTTTTTGGAACGGGACTTAGTTTAAACCAGGGATTTATCAACCCGCGGGGCAGCATGTGGCTCGCGCGCACATTTGTAATAATTTGCCACACTTAATGGTGTAAAATAATTAACTGATATCAGTAAACGCGCTTTGTAGATGATGGTGACTGCCTATACTAGCAACTGTTCACTATAATTAGTGACGTCATATCAAGAACTTACTGATGAACTACCAAAAACTTAAATTAGACCTGATATTTTGAGGTCATTGAAGTAAACGCAATGCCAAATATATCACTGATGACTGGTTTGTTTAATAACATCTTTGAGCAGGCCGTGTGTTTGAATCTATTTACATAAGTACACAGCATTTTTAATAAACTGCCATGAAGTTCCAGTGAACTGTCGTCATTTATAACATTGCGATTCACGTGTGGAAAGGTTGGTAGCGCTTAACTCAACGCAATCTCTAAATCTTATAGACTCTTAGGGGCGAGATTGTAAGTTAAATTTCAGCTAGCGTTGCGCATGAAATGTTCATGGTTGCTCAAAGCGAATCCATGGTTACTTGAAATAGCCTCATGTGGGTATTATTGTCGCGATGTAAGGCTGTCTTTATATTTCGAGCCCCGTGAATACATTTTCTGCCCCCGACGACGCTGCTACCGGTATCACAAAGGCTTAAAATGGGGTTTCGAATGGACGCTGCCTTCCTTTCCCGTATGTGATTGTGAAATTTTGCTGTCGGCCACGTAGGGTCAAAGGATTCCTCATTTATACAGAATCATATGGTGTATCAGGATGGCTTCTGAACAGTATAACAAACACACTGTACTGTTATTTCGAAACAAAAGTAAGACATTTTTAATATAGTTGTCTTCTGGTCCTTATGATGGAGGCAGCATGGACCTCTGAAAGGTCAAAAGACTTCTACCAGACTATACGGCGCAACATCCCAGACGACAGCCATCTTCAAATTCACCGCCGTGAAAATTTCAAATTCTACATAAGACGTTTTTGGATTTAAGTTGAAGTAGACTGATAACAATAAACGACTTCAAGATGAGGGGTCCTTTCCCATATGGTCTTCTTATTTATAAGTTCTGTGGACTAGGAGACTCATTACAGTGTTCACAAGGCCCGTCACTGAACCTTATGCTCAAACAGCATCAACAATTTGAAATAGATGCTGAAACTCTTTGTCTAAATGGTAACTTGGCTTCGAATTTCACTCGTAGGGTGTTACAGATATACCTGTCGGAGTTGTGAACACGGAGCTTGGGTGTTTGTGAAGTTTACCGCCAACCACAGCAATCAAGGAATTAAAAGGTTTCGTATGTCACTGCACGTGGGCAGATATGCGAGTTGTCTTTCATCACAACCTGGCCTTGTCTCCCGCGCCTCTCAGGGTGTAATTACACACCAGTACAAGTCCCTTCCACCTCAAAGAACTGAAAATGTCCGTTTCGGTGAAAGCCAGAACGACACGTCACTGTCTGAAATCAAATTAACTTTGGGACACTGAATCTAGTGGCTTCCTTTAACCTAGTTAGACAGTGGCAGAAGCAGGCCTTCAAGTAGTCTTTCCTCATCTTTTCCCAGAACGGGGGCAAAATTCACACTCGCCTGTCGTTTCCTTATCCGTAAATGTGGACACAATTGAATCTTCAAGGTCATTTATTAAGAGTTATAAATAGGTTCATATATCACTCGTTAATTACCTGTAACAAAACCGGTCATTAGTGAGACATCTGATTCTACTTTTGCCTTAGTAATATTTCAGTATCCGCTTTAAGTTCTGTCGCTGCGATTCCTTCCCGTCACTCCAAGTGTTCATCAGCAAGACACACCCTCCTCCTTGACGTTCTTCATTAGGCTAGAAGTTACTCGCAGCGTTCGAGGGTACCAAATACTGGCTACGTTAACAAGACGTGTTCTCTCACGCCAGGGAACTATTTTTCATCGTACAGCTTAGCTCAGGAAGTATTTAAAATACACGATGGGCTAACAAAATACATCGAAGGACCGCACGAGACCCACGGGTTTAAAACCTATGTCTTATAGCATGAAGACTGGAGGAGAAGAAAGCAGAATACAGAATATCCCGTAAGTCTTGGGAGAACTCTTACTTTGCATAATTTGGAAAATTTTTTGATTATTTGTGTGAAGAGTTTAGAGCCCTAACGGTTAGCCCTAAGTAAAAAAAGAACATTCCAACACATGAGATCTGAAATAGTTTCATTTGCAACAATTTCTCCCCCACTATTTTTGTGTTTTTTTTTTTTCATATATT